TGGCCATTTGGGGAACGAACCAGCAGATGGAAGATCTCTCTGTGTGTCTATCTCTCCCTCCCTCCCTCCCTCCCTCCCTCCCTCTTTCTCTGTCACTCTGCACTTCAAATATAATAATAAAATAAATCTTTAAAAATAAATAAATAAAATGAGGTGAAACTGCATTTTGTGTGGGGAATGAGTGAATAGGCACAAAATAGCTTTATTTTATTTGCAATAATGAAAGCAAATATGTGAGTTACACAACCAGCCTGAGAGGGTTGCAGAGATACGTAAGACGTTTCAAGGGAATGGGTTCACTCTTCTATTGCAGAATACAAGTTCACATCAGGATAGTCCAGAAATTTCTCAGAATTTTTCATAAAAAGGGAGGGGGATGAGACAATTCTGTTAATGCCAAGCCTGTAACAATATAACAATATCAGCTAAAGTGAACACTTTTTTAAAATCTTTTTTTTTTTTTTTGGTCTTCAAAGTACACAGGCATTTTGACCTGGTCTAAAAATATTTAAATTTCAGTTTTAAAAAAGCACACCCCCCAGTGCGTGCCCAAGTCCCACCTGCACAGGTGCAGGGCAGGTGAGAGCCGCTGAGGTCACATTGCCTAGGAGCGCCACTGTGAGGTCTCCAGAGCTCTCAGACAAGCTGCATTCTGGATGGTGGAACCAACTGGAACTCGAAGCCGGGGCAACTCCACACGTGCAAAAGACGTCTGACGGCCTGTACCAGTCCGCGTCCTCCAGAGACGCAGAAAAAGTAGGATGTGTGTTGTGGGGAGTTTGTGGGGAAAAAATGGAGTTAAAAGCAAAGCTCATATTGGTGCAAAACAATGTTTGAAATCCATGCACGGTTGTTTTCCTAATCTGCGTGTCTGGGAACTTTCTGAAGACCCCTCGTGTGAGCGTGTGTGTATTTATGGAAGCCGGCTTTATTTTAAGGACGAGGCTCACATCGTAATGGAAGCTGGGAAGTGCAAATCTGCAGCTTGGGCCACAGGCTGAGGACCCAGGCACAGGGGCGGAGGCGGCAGCTCCAGTCCACAGTCTGTCTGCTGGCTGAGGGAGGGGCCGTCTGCTCATTCAGGCTTTCAACCGAAGAAGTGAGGTCCACCCACCACAGGGAGGGCAAAGTGCTTTAGGCCAACGTGCAGGTGGGGCTCATTCCAACAGCACTCTTAGAGAAACCTGCAGGATGATTTAGCCAAGTAGCTGGGCCACGGTGCCCAGCCGAATCGACATCCAAAACTAACCATCGCGCGATCTAACCAGGAATCACCAGGCCCATGAAAGCAAAGTCCTCACGCTCTTATGCCAACGCCTGCTGTGACCTGAGCTGGCTGACAGTTCTAACGACCTTTGTCACCTGGCTTCGCCTGAGCTGGACGGCCCAGATGAGCTAGAAGCAGATGCCAGAAACAGTGAGGAGAGATCACTCACACCTGGTAGCAGGAGGCGAGAAAAGATCCCGGAAAAGCAGACAGGAGGGCGACAGACGCTCTGCAGCCCGGGGCCTGTGAGCATTAGAAGAGACTGTTCTGCCAGCTTTGTGGCGTGAGGCTCCCACCTAGCCCAGGCCGGCAGCCGACGTCCCTAATAATGCACCTGCGTCTCTAAATACCAGCACAGTGGGGTTCGGGCCTTGCCCAAGGACAGCAGTCACAAGGCACAGGATGAAGAGAACGTCACGTGTTAAACGAGTACGGAGGGGACAAGGAGGTCACTGGCGCCTGTGCGACTCCTGTGCCCAAGCTCATCTTGGACGGGGATGTAACACCAGCTCTCTGTAACGATCATTCTCCACCGCTCAGGGCAGGGTACTCAGCTCTTGTGTTCAGAGCCCTCATTCTCAGGTAGGTGGTTCGGACGCAGTTGGTACCATCCCTTCTGCAGGACTGACCCTATGACTTAAGCCAATCTAAACATGCCCTCTACAACTTCTGACCTGGATTCAGACGGAAAGACACATCTAGCCTGGATCCCCAGCCCCTGTACGTCTCAGGAGGATGTGGTCTGGGACCACTGTAACCTTTCTGCTCCTGGGAGGGAGAGGCCTGGAGTCTTTGAGCGCTGGGAGGGAGTCCTCTCCATGGAAGTGAAGATGATGCTGAAATGACAAAGGGCAGAGAGGACCAATGATGAGAAGTTAGATTCTTATAGCATTTGGGCAGCTGGATCAAACCTCACCTGAAGCTGTTATAGGCTTTCAATGTATACATGCCAATGGATTCCTTTTCCTGGTGAAGTCAATTTGAACTGATCTTTGGCTGTGTGCAATTACATGATGCCTGACTGGTACAAGAAGGGACGCCTGAACAGAATCTTGAATGAAGATAATTTTTACTTAAAAGGAATGAATTGAAGGGTATTCCAAAAATACCAACATCAGCACTAATGATATCAACTACAGCAAAAATGTATCAAGCAGTTAGGATGTTCTCGAAACATTGCCTGGTATATGAAAACTCTATGAGGTTGGTGCTATGATTATCTCATTTTATCTTTATTTGAGAGGGAGAGAGAAAGAAAGATGGAGAGAGAGAGGGAGGGAGGGAGAGGGAGAGAGAGATAGGATCTCATCTGCTGGTTCAGACTGACGCCAGGAGCTGAGAATTTAATCCACGTCTCCCACGTGAGTGGCAGTGACCCACACACTTGAGCAACCTCCTGCCGCCTCCCAGCGTCTGCCTTGGCAGGAAGCCAAAATCAGGAGCCGGAGCCAGCACTGACACCCAGGCTCTCCGAATGTGGGATGCGGCATCCCAAGTGGTGTCCTAACTGCATCTTACACCAAGTGCCCAGGCCAACGATCTCATTTTAGACGAAGAAGCTGAAGCTCAGAGAAGCTAAGTGACCTGCCCAGGGTCACACAGTCCAAACACATCTAACTCGCAGGAATACACTCGTCTCCTGCCGCCCGCCTGCCGCCTCCAGGCCTCCAGGCAGACAAGGAGAAAGAAGATGGGCAGATGAGCTGAGAGCCGCCAGCAGAGGAGAGCCAGGTGGAGGACGGGGCAGGAGAAGAGGCCACGATGTTGCTGGGACGGATGGGCCCCGAGGTCTGGTTGCAGCCATTGGTATCACCAGCGCACCTGTGCAGCTGTGAAATCACGCGGGATTTGTCAGCAAAGCTGTGCCCAGCTGCTGCCCGGGCTCACCAGGGCTTGTCCTGCCTAGATGTTCACCTCCCACTTACTTATGCATGCCACAGCTGCTGGAGTGGCTAGGCCTGCCGTGCCCTGCTGGGCAGCAAGAGCCGTGGTAACTGTCCTTGCAGACCTTGTCATCCAGTCGGGAAAGACAACATCAGCAAAAACCGCACCTGCGAGCACACAGTTCTCAACTGTGCACGGTGCAAGGAGCGGCAGGGACTGAGGGCTGTAACAGGGCAGGAAGGAGGCCCAGTCTAGACTGGGGGAGTGCGTGCAAGCAGACACGCAGGGCCTGTCTCAGAAGCGTCATTTAAGCACCAGCCTCCATGTTCAACTGGACTTCAGCTAAGGACGAGCAGGTGCATCCCGAGACTCCCAGAAACTCCGAAGGCACTGCATGTGCAGAGGGAAACGGATGTGCGTTGTCGAATGAACGCAGCAGGTGCAAAGTCAGGGGGTGGGAGGCAGAGGGGCGCGTGCTGAACCATGCAGGGCCTGGAGGCCACCATTCGGACTTTGATTTACTTGAGAGGCTTCTGTCCACTGGCTGACTACTCAGGTGCCTACACTGGGCCAAGGCTGAGGCCAAAGCCAAAGCCGAGAACTCAACCCAGGGACTCGGTTACTGGAGTCATCATCGCTGGACGTTTAATCCTCACTTGTTTGCTACGTGCGCGTCTCCTGAGACCATGCCTCAGGGCCAGGCCCTGTGTGTGTGGACCAGGGACCCGGCCGTCTAACGCCGCCTACCACTCACCGAGGCCTTCCCACCACTGTTAGAGCACTGTGTGTCCTGGGTGCTTCGACACAGGAGCCCATCGAGGCCTCCCTGTGCCTCCACGACCCAGGCACTACTATTGTTCCCATTTGACAGACAGGGAATCAGAGCCACGGAGACTCTCAACACCGCCTGCCAGCAAGTGGAAGAACCAGGATGACCCCAGATCTCCCCCGGGGGGTGGCAGGGGCATAAGCACTTGAGCCAGCCTGGCTGCTTCCCTGACCCATTAGCAGGGAGCTGGAGCAGAAGAGGAGCAACCGGGACTTGAACCAGCGCCCTGATCTGGGCCGCAGACCCCAAGGCCACCATCCACCGTCAGCCACCCTCAAGGTGCGCCGGGGAGGGCGGCTGGGGCAAGAGTTTCCCCCACCTGGCAGACCGTAGGAACTCTCCCGCCCTGCTTGTCTTGTAGATCCGGACGCCATGCGTCCACCCTGTGCTGTTACCTTGGCCGGGTCTCACCAACACTGGGTCCACAGGGCAGACAAGAACTTTTGAGCTCAGCAGATGCCAGTGGGGTCACTCACTGCCTTAGGACCGGCCTAGTCGCGGGGGGGGGGGGGGCACGGCGCGCGCCCTGCGCCTCACTGTCCCCACCTGTCCAAGGTGGCGCCTGGCGACAGCCACCTGCTGGGCTCTGGGGCCGGGCCAGGCCTGCAGCCTGTGAGCGTGAGGACGTGGTTAGGGGTCTCAGGCTGCTCGTCACGACTGCCCCCTCCACCCCGTGACCTTAACCAGTGCAGACACAGTTCAGAAAGTCCGGTTAACTAAGAACTTAGGACAAGCAACGCCATTCCCCCATCCAACGCTGCAGGGCGGGTATCCCGCTGTACCAAGAACTCAGGAAACGCCAAGTCGGGGTCCTGTGCCTTTATTCGCTAGATGACGCAGTCTACTCTTAGGGAAGGAAGCACCTGTCCCACAGCCAGAGGCCCACGCAGACCCCTGCGCCCCCTTGGGCCCTGGCCGCCAGGCCCCCCAGCCGCCAGGACCCAAGTCGATTCCCGAGGGCGGCTCGCGCCCCGGCTCCGCCCAGGCAGCACTAGCCGCGCCCCGAGCGCCCGAGCCCCGCCCCGCCCCGCGCAGAGGGCACCGCCCTGAGCGGGGTCCGGCCGGGCAGTTGGGCGGTGTGGACTTCGTGCCGTTGCCTCCCGCGCGGCGTGCTCAGGCGACGCCGGAAACCCGCTCGCCATGTCGGCTGCGGAGGCGGAGGGTGTTTTCCACAGAGCCCGGGGCAGGACCCTGGACGCGTTTCCTGCAGGTACCGCCGGCGCGATGCCCGGGGAGGGGACTCTGGGCTGCGGAACCTTCCGCCCGGGAACCTTCCCTCCGAGGGCGCGCGCGCTTCCCTCCGGAGCCTACCTGGGGCTGCGCCGCGGGCCGGGACGCGCGCGACGGGCGCGCCGCCCCCGCCTGGGGCTTCCAGGGCTGCGCCCCGTCCCGCGAGCCCGGCGGGCGGCGGCGGGCGGCCGAGCAGCACCGCGGGCCGCGGCCTGACTTCCCCGCGAGAAGGGAAGGAAGAGGAGGAGACCTCGGAGGCCGGGGCCTCAGTTTCCTCATCTGTCACCCGAAAGTCGCCGGCTATGAGTGGCAGCTGACGGCACCTGCGGGTTTTTGTTTTTGTTTTTGTTTTGTTTTGTTTGCGGTCCATCAGCGCACCATGTTTTATCCTTCGTGATTACGGCTCTTTCCTGAATAGGAGAGGCCTGGGGCAGCGGACTTCGGACTCGGGTCACCTGCCCCGCCGCGAGCGCGGGGGTGCGGGCCAGCGTGAGGCTGCCCACGCGCACGCGGGGCGGCCGGGCCGGGCCCCGGGGCTCCCGTCCGCTCGTCGGCTGCAGCCCAAGTCCTTGCCGCCCTTCCTCGCCCCGTGCTCCGCCACGGCCCGTGAAAGGGCCAGCGCCTTCCCTCCCCAAGGCCTTGGCACTGGGCTGGTGGGCGGCCACGCGCCTCGACGCCCCCATTTCGCGGAGCCCCTCCTGGGCTGCCCGGTCTCGGCAGCACCCCCGCCCCGCCGCGCCATCGAGTCTCTGCTGCACCCATGTTCTTCTTCCTCTCTCGCTGCGGGTTTGGGAACAGCGTGCGGGGCTAGAAATATAGCTGCGACGGGTTTGGGAAAATACCGTCTGTTCTGGTGCATTTGAATGCGTCTTGGGTGGAAAAGGCGGCACGCGGGTTTTGGGATACATCCATATTGATAGAAGGAGCGCTAGCTACTTCGCGCATTTTCCCGCTGGGCAACTTGCCATGCACGAGCATACCCTTTATGTGATACAGTCTACTGATGGATACACGGAGGCCCCGCCCTCGGTCTCTCCGGGGCCTTAGCCGTTACCTGTTACACCAGTGGGCGCTAGCTACCCTCTGGTTTCTCCTTGGGGCCCGCCCGTGGGGAGCCCCAGCTGGGCATCGGAGCAGGAAGCAAAAGCCAGGGTGTGTGTATCCTCGTACCTTATTCCCCGTGGGGTCGCCTTGGGCTCGCGGTATGTGCACCTGCTCTCACCGCAGGCCGCCCACTGGGTCTCCAGATCTCCATCACTGCTCTCTGCGTTCAGGTGCAGGAGAGGCAGTAGCTGCGCCTTCTACCTGTGGGTTACTGAGCTGCCCCTGGTAGTTTCCCTCTCCCCAGCCCATCCCAGATACGCCCCTTCAAACCCTCCTTTAATTACCCTAATTCGAGTCTGCCAGGCCACTGGGTTGTTTCTGTGTTTCACGCTCCTAGGGACACTGAATGCTCATTTACTGGGGACACGAGGGAGAGGTTCCCCAGGACGTAGACCCATCCCGGGGAGCAGGGTTCTGGATCCTAGGGTGTAGTCTTCCTCAGCTTCACTAGGCACTGTCAAATTGCCTTCCACAGCGGCTGTGCCAGTTTATACTCCACCAGCCGTGTCTGAGAGTCCCCTGGTACTGTGCCGTATCTCTTCCTTTCAGTTGAAGAAACATTTATTACGTGCATGTTGCATTCTGCAGTATCTTGGGGGGGGGTGGTTACATGCCCCCAGGGGCTCCTAGTACAGGCACAGAGCCCTGCCCCCCCCCCCAATGCCTGGCAGGTGATGGGCTCTGAGAGCCCCTGTTGTGGGAGGAGGCGGGATTTGAAGTTTTGGTCCTGGGGGCTGGTGGGCTGTTGTCTGAGATCAGGGAATAAGGAGGAGTGTTGGGTATGAGGAGATGGATGTGAGACGCCATCCGGGATTCTGAGGCGACTGTGGGGTGCAGTGTGCAGGGGAGGAGTCGGAGGCGAAGTGTGTGGACACGCCGGTGTTCAGGGGTGAGGCGAGGACACTGAGGGGCTCGCACAGGAACAGAAGCGGTGGAAGGGGAAGCCGGGGGCGCTGGGGAGGTGAGACACAGGGCAGCTGTCGGAGAGGCTGACGCATGTCAGCCGAGCACGGGACGCAGCTGCGATGGCTAGGTGGCCCTCAGAGCAGTTCCCGTACAGTTGTAGAAGACAGTGCTGGGGGAATGGTGAGGGTGAAGGCGTCAGATCAGTAGGGTGGGAACAAACATTCCTGTGCTTCGGTTATTACAACAAAGTACCGGAGAGAGGCTGCTTTATAAAGAGGCCTGTTTAGCTCACAGCTCTGGAAACTCATGGGCCGGGACTGGCAAGGCAGGTGGCATTCGTACTGGTGTCACATGGTGTGGGCAGGAAGCCAGAAAGGCAGGGAGTGGCCAAGCTTATTTTATGACAGCTCATGGGGGTGCCATGAGCACTCCCTCAGTCCCTCCCAAGGGCAGGGCCCCCATGTCCTAAAGACCTCCCGCTAGGTCCCAGCTTTGAAGGGTGCCCCACCTCGCACATCACCATTCTTGGGGGCCAAGCTGTGACACATGCACACTTGGGGAACAAGTTGTATGCGCTGTAGCAGATGGGCTCTGCTTGGAGCCATTTGGTGATGCAGTAGTTACAGGGTAGGACAGCTTGAGGCAGAGTGCTGCTGAAACTCTTCTGGTTGGTGTGGAATCCCTCGTGTCATCTTCAGGGTGGTCCTGTTGAGACAGGTGTTACGATTGCCCCTTCACTCACTGGAAGAAAATTAAGCTTAGAGGGGTTACGCCGCTTGTCCTGGCGTAGTTGATCTGAGATGGATTTGCAGTGAAAATGCAAAAAGGCTGTTGGAGAGGGGGACCAAGAGAAATTGGAAGTGAAGAGCTCAGGAGAGGGGGTGGCCCTGGCAGCAGATGGATCCGTTGACTGTGCACGCATCTGTCCCTTCATCCGTCCAACTGTTTGTCCATCCATTTACCCAGCCATCTACCATCTACCCATCAAGTGCCCATCCGTCCATCAGTTGTCTAGTCGTCACATGTACTGTCTCAGGCATGGTGCTAGCTGCTAGGTGAATGAGAACCAGATGTGCTCTTCCTGCTCCTCCGATGTGGCCACTTGGGGAACCCCCTAAACCCTGTGGTCACACAAAGCAGTGCAGATGACTGTTGGGGCAGAGCCAGGGGAGTGAGGGGTTCGGCGCTGTTGGAACAGTTGCCCTAATGACATTCCAGCAATGGTGACAGAGGGACTTCTACTCAGGAGCAACTCTGGGCACAGTCTGATTGGATGCTGGAGCTCAGGGTCTTGTCTTAAAGCTACGTTTCCGTAGCCTCACTGGTGCACTTGGGGTGTGTGTGTTTGCTGGGCTGGAGGTGCATGGGGGTGAGGTGCGCATCCCATGGAGATTGTGGGGTGCTGAGGTGTCCAGACTTCCTAGGCCATCGGGAGTGCCATGGGGTTGCCAGAGGACAAGGCGGGTCCACTTGGACAAGAATGGGGTGACAGCGAGACCGTTCTGGGTTGCGGGGAGAGAGTGACTTCACGAACAGTGACTCCGTCTAGAAATGGGGCCGCCCTTGGTCTCTGGGGGCCCCCAGTCCCAGCAGGCACGCTGAGTGGATATGGGGCCACGTGCCGAGCACCCTGGTCGTGGGGCTCAGTTCTCTTACGGGCCGAATCCACGGTGTTGCTTCCATTGTTCTCCTGGACCTTGCCCTGGGTCCTGACTCTCGTAGTGTTGCTGGCGACCAGCAGAGGTGCTGTGAGTGTCCGGTGCCTGTCCAGGCTCCTTGGGAAGGCACAGAGTCAAACTGGGCAGCCTCAGAGGAGAAGGTGAGCGAACCAACCTGTCCCCCATCTCTTGCCAAAACAGGGGTTCGGTGAACTCTAGCAATGGCCCCCAGGACAGCTCTGTTGGCCCTGCTCCACAACCCTGTGATAGACCCTCCAGAGAGCGCCACGGTTTGTTTCGGTTAAATCAGAGTGCGCTTTGCTTTACCCCAGCCGCCACAGGTGATCGGCGTCCACAGCGGCACTCTGCACCGTCCTCCTCCGTGTCGTTTGGGGAGCTGGACTTCAGTCATCCGTTCCCTGTTAACATCACCAGCCAGGCGCTGTGGATGGATTGTTTACAGAAAGTAAATTGTATGCCTCACCTGAGAAAGCGCACATTACTGGGGCGTGTTCGGATATTCATTTTAATTAGGCAAATTGATAATTATATTTCTTTGACACATAGCCTAATTAGGGCTGCTTTCTTCCAGCAGATAGCTGTCTGAGAAGTTTACAATGTCTATTTTGAAGAAATTCTGAAAGGGAGAAGGATCAAAATAAAATAGGTTTTGGAAAATTATTTATTTTAAAATTGTTTTTAGGTCATAGTCTGTTTCCAGCTCTTTCTACCTCCAGAATATTCTTCCTTCAGGAGAACTCTGGGGGGGGGGGGTGGTCTTACAAAGATGATTTTCCTAGGCTTTTTATTTTTAAGAGGGATTTGCTTATTTGAAAGCAGAGTTGGGGGGAAGAGCAGCAGGGATGGGGGAAGAGAGAGAGAGAGAGAGATTGAGATTGAGATTTTCCATCTTCTGGCTCACTCCTCTGATGGCTGCAGCAGCCAAGACTGGACTAGGGTGAAACCAGGAGCCAAGAACTCCATTCAGTCTCCTGCATGGGGCACGAGGGAAGCGGGGTGGGGAAGGCTCAAGTCCTGGAGCCATCACTTGCTGCCTCCAAGGCACGTTAGTAGTAAGCTGGATCAGAAGCAGAGTAGCCAGGACCTGAAACAGGCACTCCTCTGTGGGTGCTGGCATCCCAGGTGACAGCTTAACCCACTGCACCACCGTGCCTGCTCGTCCCAGACGCTGTAAACTTCTCCAGGCTGCATTTGCTAATCCTGAATATTTCTCAGTGCTGTCTGGAACGCCTCCCACGTGGCAGAGAGTCACCAGAGTCTATGTAGAAAATAACTTGCTCTATCGCTTGCA